GTCTCATCATGGGGAATAACTACATCCAGCTGCCCAGCCACTCAACCAGGCCCAGACACGTTGACACACAACCTTAACCACCACCGAGTCAAAGTGGGAACCTATAGATTCTGACCCCACAGAGATCTGGCTCTCTGGTGAGAACTGTCACTCAGAGCCTCCATCACACGCCCTTCCGCAGGGGCAGAGTCCACCTGGAAAAGCGACAAGCATCTCCTTGACTTGGGTAGAGGAGGAAGCTTGGGGTGAGGGCTCTCTGCAGAAGACTTCCCTGTCTTTTCTTACTGCTCACTGGTGGGGAATCTTCTGGTGAGTGAGCAGCCAATGTGATGCTGCCAATTACGTCCCTGCTGATAGTGAGGAAAGAGACCAGCGTGCCATCCCAGTGCCCGGAAGGCCCGGAGCCTCGGAAGAGCCTAGAGAGCAAGTACACTGCAGGCTGCCCAGCTGTTGTTGTTACGTGCTGTCGAGTCAAACCCGACTCATAGCAACCCCTCCTTGGGTTTCCAAGGCAGTATCACTACGGAAGTAGGATTGCCCAACTTTCCTTTCAAGGAGTGGCTGGTGGGTTTGAACCGCCAGCCTTCTGGTTAGCACTCAAGTGCCTTAGGCACTATGCTACCAGAGCTCCTGGCTAGAGCTCCTGAAATCAGGCTCCCAGCAGGTCCACAGGATCACTGCCAACTAGCGAAGACCCTCCTCCGTTTCTGGGACTTCCTGGGTAGAAATATGAGAGCGGGAAGAGCAGGGCTGGGCGCTCACGGAGCACTCAGACGTGCGTGGCCACTGGCGGATGACTGCCCCGTCCCGGGCTCTCTCCTACACTCTAGCCGGTCCCTCCCCTCCTTTGGGGCTGTCGTCTGTTTTGCTCAGCTTTACAAACCCCACTTCTGGGTGGGGTTTGCAGAGGTTCAAGACCAGGGCAGAGAGGTTGCCTGCCTTTTAAGGCTTCACGCAGCTTTCAGATTCTGCTCCAGTTTAAAAAGAGGCAACATTGTCCCTTGCTGTGCTTGGTGGCTGCCATCGGGCTGATTCCTGCTCAGAGGGACCCCATGTGACGGGGTTGAACTGCCCCATAGGGTTTCCTGAGCTGTAATGTTTATCAGAGCAGATGGCCAGGCCTGTCTCAGGTGGAGCCACTGTGTAGGTTTGAACTACCAACCTTTTGGTTGGCCACAGAGCGCTTCATCACTGCACCCCAGTGCTCCTCTTGTCTTCCTCTCCTCCTTTCCTGGCATGGCCTTTTCCTTCCGTGAGTAGGTCGTGATGGGAGGCACCATCCCTCAGGCCGTCACTGCCCTCCTTTCCCGCATTTCGCTGCCTCGGGGCGGGGGGAGCGTTGGAGGCTTGGGTGGAATCCGTGCCTTCCGTGTGCGAGACCTGGGTTCGATTCTTGTCCAGTGCAGTCAGCGTTGCTAGGATGCTGAACAGATTTGAGTGGAGCTTTTAGATTAAGACAGTAGGAAGAAAGGCCTGGAGATCCGCTTGTAGAAGTCAGCCAGTAAAACCCCCGTGAGTCCCAGTGGTTCGATCTGCAGCCGGTCAGGGGTTTGGTGCAGGACCGGGCAGCGTTTTGCTCCACTGTGTGTGGGGTCACCATGAGTCGAGGGTGACTCGATGGCAGTAACCATGGCAACAAGACCAGCAGCTCCTGTTTGAAATGAAATCTCCTCCCATTCCTTACTCCTCATCTGAGTGAAGGGGGCTGAGGAGCAGAGCCTCCCTGAGGATGCAGGGAAAGCAGATCTGTACGGTGAGGTTC